CCTTGACCTCAAGTCAGACGCACTCCTCTGGACGACGGGGGCCTGGGTGCTTGACCTTATTAAAGCTAACGCAATACGCAAAAATAAGTCAAGTACTTTGCCCTTTAAACCATCCACTTACGTTTAATGACAGGAAGATGTGTCTTGACGTTACTACAGTACTGAATACGGGTTTATGCTGAGCTCTATGGGGCCGTTCATAAATGACGTCACGCGATTTTGACCCCCCTCCCCGACTCGTCACACGGCGTCACAAAAAGTCAGACCCCCCTCAAATATGACGTCACAAAGCTCTGCCCCCCCCCCCTCCAAAATCATATTTCCATTTTGAAAATAAAACATGCTTCAAATCGCTTTAAACTATTGTCATTGTAGTGCGTATTTAATGTGGCGCTGCACTCTGATGTTGTAGGAGAAAACATTTATTAAAAAGGCGTTGGAAAGCTGAAATTTTGCATAAAATTCACTTGAAAATATTCAACGTCTAACTAAAACTGCAGATGTTCAGAATATTATATTTAAATGATCTTATAATTATAAAAAAAATACACTTGAAACTTTGTAGAAGAACGAAGCAAAATGGAGAGTACAATTTTTACAATCACATATTAATTCCACAGAATGAAAAGCCCTGGTAGAATCATGGAGAAGCAAAATGCTCCTTCATGGAATAAATAAAAGGTGACCTTAGTAAATAAAAATAATAAAATAGTTAATAATGAAAATTAATCAAAATTAGTGTTGTTATAACAGTTCTATTTAATTAAGTGGAACGTGTTGTTTATATTTATTTAAAGTTGCGCATTTTGATATGACGTTACATTTCTCAAACCCCCCCTCCCCCCCTCGTCACACATCGTCACAAATGTCTGACCCCCCTCTCCCCCCTAGGTGCGTGACGTCATTTATGGACGGCCCCTATTGTACTGCTATTCGTTTGTAAGAACTAACACTGCCCGCGCAATTGCTCGGGACACACGACCCGCGTGTGGGGGCGAGCCGTGACGTCAGCGCGAACGAACCTGGCCCCGACGCTGTGGGTGACGTCATCGCGCGGATGTGCGTGGTGACGTAACCGCCGGGCACGCGCATCTGCCGGACCGCGCGCCAGCCAGCAAAACTTTATTGTTATTTATTTAAAGCTTTCGTGACTGCAGGGATTCATATTCTTGGTTCTTTCGGTAAAGTCACGTAGAAGGGAAACAATAAAATAATAATAAAACATAATTATTATTTTATTGTACCTTTCTCATTATTCTAATATCGTGCGGTAAAGGTGGCGCCCTGCAATTACTTTCTCACGCCACTGCTGGCAGAAAAGACTTCCAGTAGAGGGAACTCTCGAGAGGCTCTTCAGAGGGTGCTTTGACGTATACATGTACTGTGTACACCAAAGTTCGTCCGTTAGCAGGTCACGTGCGGTGCGGTGAAGTGTGGGTACTCTTCCCGTTCATAATCATCATACACTACCAATGTAATAGCAAATTATTTGTCAATCTACTGCTGGATGAAGGACTCCCTAAGCCATGCAGATTATACGGTATTATTTTTTTAATCTATACTTCACCACACTGGTCAGGGTTGGTGAAGGGGGGTTTGGGAAGATCCAGAACTGGTTCTAATAGAACTCACCACTGATTTAGCCATAGCCGAGAATCAAACTTCGACCACTGGGTTAGCAGTGCAGTATACAAAGACCACCATGCTACATTCTGCTCTGCATGATCGCGTCCCTGCATGGATTGCAAAGCTTGTTAAACAACGTTTTAAAATGCTATATAATTTTACTACCGAATGATGTTTTTCTCTCTCTGTCCAGCTGATACATAAAACGACGGATTGTTGAATTACTTGGCTGAAAGCTGCTGCTTAGAATGAATGAACACATTTGTGTGGTTTTTTTTGCAAGACACAATACATTCCTTGTGTGCTACACTCATTTTTACTTGTAGTTGTGTGATTTTTTTTAAATGATGGAATGGAAATTGGCAGTTTTCCAGAAACAACCAGTCCAGACAGAGCTCTGTTGGCCTGTAACGCAGAGCAGAGACACTAAGCCATTTCTCATTACAAACAAATGGGTTTTGTGAATTTTGGTCAAAGCTCGCATAGAAATGTATTTCTGTCTATCATGGCTATCATCTAGATTTGATGTGCTACGAAGAAGAGCCATTGCCCTTAAAGGCAGTGCGATTGGCGAATGCCTTGAGGTTATATTTGTTCTTCGTGCTTGTGTGCCACTGCCAACACAGCAGCATTTACCAAATAATGAGATTATCAATTAATCATTGGCAGCCCTTTGCCAATCCCACAGATGGGTAAAGGCCTCCCCCAGGCCGTGTCGGTTTGTAGGAGTTCAGATATCACTCAGCACTTATGTTAGCCGTGGTCTGGAATCTAAAATCAGGTCAGCGAGTTCACCACATACACTGCACCACCACCCTTCCGGCTGTAAATAAATAAATATTGAAAACAAAACCAGTTGCCAAAGCGCTGGCAACGTCACCAGACGTTCGCCAGCAGCAAGCACGTGTGCGTGAAGAATATGCGCATCGATTCCTGAGCTTTGAAATGACATCTGAGCAAAATATTATTCATAGAACGCCACAGGTGCTGGCAGTGAGCTGCGTGCGACATCCGTTGCCATCGAATGCTAAAATAACTCTTTCTGCATCAGGAAGTGGTTAAAAAGCACGTCGCTTTATTACTAAGTAATAAAGGTAGATTATGCGGTACTGTGCTGCGTACCGGGTCAATCCTGGGTCAGATCAGACCGCGGGCTCAGAACCACATTTTGGAATAAAAATCTGGCACAATTGCATCGCGCAATGTTATCTCGTTGGTCTTGAGTGGTGTATTCTGGTTGCTTTTAACTTAGTTTCATTTTTGCCACAATTGGCCATTGACCAATTTTAACCCCACGACAGTCCTGGACGTAAAGCGCCCTCGCTACCTTAACTGGCGATGTGTGTTTATATTTGCACTGTATTTTCCGTTTCACATTAATGCCGTAACACCGAAAGGCATTCGACAGAATGCATGCAGCAAAGGGGGGGGGGGGGGAGGATAACATAAAGCATTTTTGACATTCTACTTGGTAATGAGGTTTCCATTTCTTGTGCTCTAACCAAGCAACGTTATTGATTGCATCACTTTAACCACGCAATCGACTTTATGCATTACACAGACCCTGTCCATTGGGATTTAATTTATAATTGAAATAAACTTTGAAAAGGCATGACAGTACAAATGCTATTTTTTTTGTTCAAATGAGTGCTGGATTTTAATCAATGCGTATTACCTACTATGGCACATCGATCTGGCACGTGGATCAGAATGGACACTGCCGAAGAAGACGGTTTGTGTGGCATTTGGTTCCTGTTTTAATTGGAAGCCTCTTATTTCTATTTTCCCTTCACGCTCCGAATCCCTTCCTCTGGACACTTGGGCTTGTTTTAAAAGGCAGTGCTGCAGGTTTTTGTTTGTTTGTTGAGGTTTGTTTGTCCCCCCCCCCCCCCCCCCCCCCAGAGTGAGGCTTGGCAACTAAAAGCCAAGTTGGTTTGGGGGAGAGAAGAGCGTGATTGGGTAGCATAACCGTGTCAACCCCGACCAGGGGGTGCAAATCAGCGAGACTCCGACTGACAAACATTGGGGGACACCAGCAACGGAACTGAGACAGCAAGCCGGGAAACCGGTAGCGACATCCAAGAAATTGAGGAATAGAAGCTGTCACGCAGGGAGGGGTGAGTCTGGATATCTGTGAAAAAGACCTTTATAGTTGATCGGAATCCTCCAGTATAAATGAATACTATATTTCTGAGGCTTATTAATGAAGCAAAGTGTACTTCTAGACTGTTTAAACATGTTTTTCGTGATTTGCTTACCTTTTCTCTACTTTTCACTCCTGTTGTTTGTGTGTGTGTATTGTTATGAATTGGTTAACCGTAGCCATACTGGACATCTGCGAAAAATAGAGCTTTATAGCTCATCGGATTCCTCCAGTATAAACAAATATTATATTTCCGGTGCTGATTATGCAATTTGTACTTCTATACTTTTTAAATATTTATTTTTCATGACTTGCTTACCTCTTCCCTACGTTGCACGCCTGTCGCTTTTGCGTGCATTCTTACAAATGAATACTTATAAATAAATACTTGGGACATCCGCGAAATATCCGTGGGCACATAGGGGGCAGGGGAATTGATGTCGGTTTCGGCGTTCAGATGATGCATGGGGGCTGACGGACAAGAAGCTTTGCGGCGGTAGAGGTCGTTACACGGGAGGGGTTCACCATCACCTCCACACGCGTGGACGCGTTGATGACGGCCACACGGTGATCATGTCTTAAACGTGACCCCCATTCAGCGTGTCATCAAGCAGGCAGACTTGCTCGACCGTGATGGTGAATTATTTTGTTACATTCTCGGAACGCAAAACTATGTGCGGTGCAGCACTCTCGTGCACAACGGAAGCTTTGAGGGCAATGGGACTCGAGCTACGGCTGCAAAGTTTGGTCGTACATGTTATGTATATCGTTTATTGTTAGATTTGAATCACAGTTTCCATGATCACTGTTACATTGTTTTTTATAGCTTTATTTTGGTGATTTTGAAAACGTTTTGGTTCAGCTATGTTTGTTTGTTGTAGTACAGAGTTAGCTTGATAACTTTAATCTAAATTGTCTTATGGTTGTTACTGTTTGACTTGCATCCCACTATGATTTTTGCACACAGCGTTGAAATACGGTGTTTTTCTGGAAGATTTTGCTGCTTTTTCCTGGATTTTTCTGTTGCGTGTAGTCACTTTAAGATGTTTCTTGTTCATGTTTTTGTTTGTTGCGGTTGCACCCGAGTCAAGAGCCGCATGGCTCACAGGGTTATACCTAATAGACGAAACTAAAAACAGAAAAATACCCAGGAATACCGCTCCAAGCCAAAAACCCAGACACAAACAACCCGGTGACGTCACCTTCCAATTTACGCGCGTGACGTCATTTTTAAAGCTCATGCGACGTGACGTCACCGCCGCGCGTGACGTAGGTACCGGAATCGAGCTCGCTCGGCTCAAAGTGCCCGCATCTGTGGAATAGAAAATAAGTGTTCAATACTCTTCATATCGCAGCGGCTACAATTACTACGGCTGCACCCAAACCACGCGCAAACAGCCGCCCGCGACACAATCGCAGCAGTCAGCCGGCGCTTTAAAGAGCTTTGTGGCGGTGAGGTGATCGCGTCTCGACTCCCATCCCTAACCCCCCCCCCACCTCCCTCCCCCCACAACGCCGGCCGCGGCGGCGGCTTCCCGCGGGACCCGGGCGCAGCGAGGCCGGCAGAACGACGCAGGCAAGGCCGTAGGCGCGGCGGCCTACTCGGTCTTTTCGCTTTTCTGGACAAGCGCCGCCGTTAACGTAGACACACAAAGTAAGAAATGTTTGGAGGCTTTTGGAAGACGCCGAGCGAGTACAAATATCATGCCGACGTCGTTGGTCGCGTCTGGTAAAGTTTGCTGAGGCCCTGGTCGGCTAGTGTGAGTGAAAGGGGGGAGTCGGAATTGACTATTGTGCCGAGTAAGCCACGAGTGTTGCGCTTCGTCCGTCAGGTTTAATGTTAAGTGGTCTCTAATGCAGCTCATTTCACATAAGCTCAACACATTCGTCAATAACACCGCTTAAAGGTGGTGGCTGAGGTGAGGGGGGATACATAAGAGGCGACGTTTCGGGCAATGGCCCTTTAAGGGAGATGAATGGCCATTGTAATTATTGCCAACGCAGTGCAGCATAACGAAATGTATTTTGTTTAATTTAAACTAAACTGTTTCATGAGCTTAAGCTCCTTGCTTCGGATGGTCGCGAAAGCCTACGTGTTAAACGGGTTATACATTTTTTTTACGTTTTCAGCAGTAAGTCATGTTTGACCTGATTTTAATTAGTTCAATCGATTACACTACAGCAGTTTATGAATACGCAAAACAGGGCTTTGTGCTTTTGTGGGTTTTGTTCAACGCATTCGCTCGGAACGTGGAGAGGAATGTAATTGGTGAGATATTTACTGAATTATTATTAATCTGTAATGTCCTTTTGGGGAGGAGCGGTGACTGAACCTGGTGACCGGAGTTCGTTCGATTCACGGCCACGGTTAACGTGAGTGGCGACTGACATTTGAACGGATTCTGATTATTTCCCCACCCCCGCCCAGCAAGGGTCACTGACCAGCGTGTAGTGAAGTACTCTGCTCGTCTGGTCAATCGGCTGCCACTGCCGACACACTGTGCGGAGGCATTCATCCAAAAGCGAATTGACAAATGGCTGTAAATGCCCTTTTTAGCTGAGATTATAAAGGTTCAATAAGCGTCACTTAAGGGTCAAGAGAGACAACATACGGCTCTTGTAACAGGACAGAACCGAGACGCAACACGTCTTATGGGAAAATACGCGCAACGAATAAAACGGGAGTACGTAGATTCACGATACGGGCTTCTAGTATTGATACGATTAAGAAGAGTAGAGTTTTCTAATATTACTTTTAAGCTGGGTGTGAGAGGTTATGATGGTTGGCATATAGCTCCATAATGCTTCGACAGCAGAACGCAATGCAAATCGTGTAAAAAGGACAGTTGAGAGACTAATCCGGTGGTTAGACTCCCTTTTGTGCGATGATTAACTGTAGTGACTACACTGTTCTGACATGCCGCAGGACACTGCTTATGTCTTTCTGAAAAGGCATATCGGCCAAATGCTTGAGCAATATTTGTCGACAAGCAAAACTTGGATTTTGAAGTTTTTATATACAGTGTGTATATAATTTATGGCACACTAGTTATTATCTGCTTAAAATGTACACACAATTATTTCTTTTTGAATGCTCGAATGATACGTACGGGTTGGTTGCATGTTTAAATAACATCAAATGCATGGAACGCATTCACCACGTTTGACTACATTTGATCGGAAATGAACACAGACTTAAATTTTGACTTAAAGCTTTCGTGACTGCAGTAATTCATATTCTTAGTTCTTTCGGTAAAGTCAACGTGACTTTACCGAAAGAACTAAGAATATGAACACAGACTTGTTAATGATATGGAGCTCGAGCAGGAATGTGAAATAAAAGCGAAATGTTGAACGTGTGTGACTTTTCACCCGGAATATGACACCGCAGTCCAGAGCGACTTTAACAACCAGTGCAGTTGTTAGCTGTTAGGTTTAATATAGACACGTAAGTGGACAAGTGGCCGCATGTCTTTGCAGTATAATTGCACGTTACTCAAACTGCTAAATAAAACAGCATTTATGTGACGTCAGTAAAATTGTCAGCGTGCCTAAACAGAGCAGCTGTGGTCACTTGTAGGGAAAACAGCCCATTGTATCACGTTGTGCACGATTGCCATTCTGTTGCTATGCTAGTGAAGCTGAAAGTGTACTTTTTCAAGGCCTTTCAGATATAGAGCAAATAAAGGCACAACAGAAATGTTTTCTCCTTTCAGATGTGGTGGAAAAAATGTCAAGTTTCTGATTGCAGCCAGGGGGGCTTTTTCTCTTGGTGAGGGATATTTCAGCCATGGAGGGATCATTCAGATTAATTTACAGATCTACATTTAGGAAATTTTAAATTATTGCTACAGCCTCGGGTCGGTAGGTGAATTTGCATGCGGCTGGCGGCTTGCATGAACCCGAACCATAATTTATTCCTGTGGTTTGTTAATCATGTTTATCCTTGTGTTAAAGTTGCCCTGCAGCCGGATTTGCGTTTCTTGATGGACAGATGCAGACTCAGATTAATACATCACTGCCAGCCGATCTCCAAATCTGTTTGAAAGCCTTTAATATGCAATACTTTTAAAAACAGCCTAACCTCATCATGTTGATTGTGTTTGAAATATGAGGCACAGCAAACCGTCTGATCTGCCAATGACTTGAAAGTAAAAAGACTGAACCGGGGATGTTTTTCTGGCCCAGATGACGTTGACGGGTGTGTTCTCAGCTTGATTTTGAAGGCATGTTGCCATCTGGAAACATGATCACTGGTACAGTAAACAGAAAGAATGTCTTCGCTTTGCATACCAGCCAGTGTTAATTTTAAATCCAAAGTTCTAAATTTGCTCTTTTTTAATTAATGTAAACTAACATGAAATACAATGTATCCATACATTTTGAGACATTTGGGATTTTTTAAACAAACTGCTATAAATAATACATTACTTGTATGCGACTGTTAAAGAATAAGCCAAATTAATGAATTGCCAGGCAGAAATCTTTTTGGTATAGTGTATTTAAATATTCAATCATGAATTTTCCAAGTATCCTTAGCAGAACCCTTTAGAAATTGTTGACTTGTGCAGTTTTTATTATTATAAATAATTAGGATTTGCCTGTGACAAAGTCACATGACATGCACCTGGTCTTATAAGCTGAGCAGGGTTGAGCCTGGATAGTGTTTGTACGGGTGATCACCATGCACATAAACTTGTGTTGCAGGCTTTTACAGGGCTACAGTGTCAGCAGGGGACAGTTGCAGCACATTATTTTTTTGCACTGTACTCAACATGTATGTATGTTGCACTTCTTACGCACCGTACGTAGCCAACCGTGCACTGACCAGTGTGGTGAAGTTTTCTCAAATAACTCCCATGACCTGCACAGGCTGGGTAGTCCCCCCATCCCACAGTGCATTGACAAGAGGCTGTACAAAGGACATAATTTTTTATGTTAAACACAACAATGTTGCATTTAATTCTTTTTTGCTGTTACCTGTGTATATTTAGCCAATTGGCAGGTCACGTGTCGTCTGGTAGAGTGTGTGTACTCCCACCTCTTCCAAGAACTATGGCCAGCATGGAAGAATAAACCGAAGACCCACCAGAGATGTACCCTAGAGCTGCCTCTAGTGTAGGCCCTTCCAGCAGCAGTGGCATGAGTAAACCATTGCAGAGCTGGATCTATACCACTTTTTACATACTGTTTTTTTTATCTGTTTGTGTGTCTCTCATGCGCCGACGTTTCCAGACGGTGTGAATCGGTACCCACACCTCGGCGACCGTGATGTCTCGAGCTTCGAGCCCCTCCCCGCCGGCGGACATGTCGAGTGGCCCCGTTGCCGAGAGCTGGTGCTACACGCAGGTGCGGCACCGCGGCCCCCGGGGCACCACCAGCACACGCACAGCACACGGCACACACAAGGGAGGGGGGCAGGCAGGCAGTCCTTGCGCGATTATTTACCGCCGACGCGCCGGGCGTGGTGGCGCACGCCTGTAAACCCACGCTTGTGTGTAGGTGGGATGGGTAAATCATGTGGGCCTTCTCATGTGTGTAGAACTCAAAGCTGCGGGGCCACAAGGTGGCCAGGAGGAAGCAGTACAGCAAGTGGGGGGACTGGTCCAGAGTTTCCTTGCTTAATCGAACCCTGATAGAAAAATTGTACTGCCTGACCCATTGGCTGAGAGGCTGTAATATTGTCTGGCACATTGTTTTGCTGGTAAGAATCCATCTTTGTTTGTTTGTTATGTTATCTGTGAAACAGATTTTCCTGTGTTATCCCTTCATGTTAAAAACTTCTCCTGAGCCCTCTGATTTCCTCTCACACCATGTTAAATGCTCAATGTGGATTTGACTAGACGTCCCATGCAATACACTCCTGAAAGAGTCTTAATACTCATTTGGCTTTCCTGGATAAATAATGGACTTACTATTGCTATTGGGTCAAGCTTCAATACTATCGTGACACTGCTAGCACTGATCCCAAGACACAAGCTGCATGGGTGCCTGTCCATCTTTGAGTTGGTGGTCACCTTTTGGAGTTTAAGGTCGGATAGGGTGAGCGGAATTCTTGAGAATGAGTGTGCAGTAACTGCTACAGTGAGGGAAACAAGTATTTGATCCCCTGCTGATTTTGTACGTTTTCCCACTGACAAAGAAATGATCAGTCTATAATTTTAATTTGCATTTTAATGAGGGAAATAAGTATTTGACCCCCTCTCAATCAGAAAGATTTCTGGCTCCCAGGTGTCTTTTATACAGGTAACGAGCTGAGATTAGGAGCACACTCTTAAAGGGAGTGCTCCTAATCTCAGCTTGTTACCTGTATAAAAGACACCTGTCCACAGAAGCAATCAATCAATCAGATTCCAAACTCTCCACCATGGCCAAGACCAAAGAGCTCTCCAAGGATGTCAGGGACAAGATTGTAGACCTACACAAGGCTGGAATGGGCTACAAGACCATTGCCAAGCAGCTTTGTGAGAAGGTGACAATAGTTGGTGCGATTATTCGCAAATGGAAGAAACACAAAAGAACTGTCAATCTCCCTCGGCCTGGGGCTCCATGCAAGATCTCACCTCGTGGAGGTGCAATGATCATGAGAACGGTGAGGAATCAGCCCAGAACTACACGGGAGGATCTTGTCAATGATCTCAAGGCAGCTGGGACCATAGTCACCAAGAAAACAATTGGTAACACTACGCCGTGAAGGACTGAAATCTTGCAGCGCCCGCAAGGTCCCCCTGCTCAAGAAAGCACATATACATGCCCGTCTGAAGTTTGCCAATGAACATCTGAATGATTCAGAGGACAACTGGGTGATAGTGTTGTGGTCAGATGAGACCAAAATGGAGCTCTTTGGCATCAACTCAACTCGCCGTGTTAGGAGGAGGAGGAAGAATGCTGCCCATGACCCCAAGAACACCATCCCCACCGTCAAACATGGAGGTGGAAACATTATGCTTTGGGGGTGTTTTTCTGCTAAGGGGACAGGACAACTTCACCGCATCAAAGGGACGATGGACAGGGCCATGTACCGTAAAATCTTGGGTGAGAACCTTCCCTCAGCCAGGGTATTGAAAATGGGTCGTGGATTGGTATTCCAGCATGACAATGACCCAAAACACACGGCCAAGGCAACAAAGGAGTGGCTCAAGAAGAAGCACATTAAGGTCCTGGAGTGGCCTAGCTGGACTCCAGACCTTAATCCCATAGAAAATCTGTGGAGGGAGCTGAAGGTTTGAGTTGCCAAACGTCAGCCTCGAAACCTTAATGACTTGGAGAAGATCTGCAAAGAGGAGTGGGACAAAATCCCTCCTGAGATGTGTGCAAACCTGGTGGCCAACTACAAGAAACGTCTAACCTCTGTGATTGCCAACAAGGGTTTTGCCACCAAGTACTTAGTCATGTTTTGCAGAGGGGTCAAATACTTTTCCCTCATTAAAATGCAAATCAATTTATAACATTTTTGACATGCGTTTTCTGTATTTTTTTGTTGTTATTTTGTCTCACTGTTCAAATAAACATACCATTTAAATTATAGACTGATCATTTCTTTGTCAGTGGGCAAACGTACAATCAGCAGGGGATCAAATACTTTTTTCCCTCACTGTATTTATATGTAGAACACGTGAGAAGATTGCTCCTTATTTTAAAATCTGCAGCTGGTGTAGAATATTCGAGTGTAAGAAATAATTTGCAGGATAAGAGCTGAGTGCAGTTGTTGGAGAGAGAGAAAACGTTATTAAGCCTCTTGTCTTTTATCACTTTATGAATCCAATATCCCCTTTTGGATTTCATATGGATGAAAGTGTACCTAAATCTACCCTAAATATCTGACCCGTGTCCTCCGAGTACCTCTTTTACATATAAAGCATTTGTCAAATGCCTTTTTAAAATTATTCTCTGGATATGATCACGAGAGAAATATTTCATATTAAACCGCAATGTAACCAGAGTAAAGCATAGCTTACATTGCACCAGAGATGTACCAATATTCTGAGCTTACATTTAAATATTTTTTTACATGAATGCATAAGCCTAAAAATTGAGGACACCATTTCAAATACACGGGAATATAACAGGAGGTGGAAAATGTAGTTACAAAAACTAACTGCTGAAATATGACTTCATCTACTAACAAACCAGAAATCTGTCGGGGCAAGTTGGTTATAAGACAGACGTCATTTGTGTTGGCTGGGTTGGTGGTGGCCTGCAACATGTCATGAGGTTGTATATACCTGCCTGACAGTGAAATAATTCGTTTAGATAAATCACTTTCACAAGCCATGTCTCATCTTATTCAAACATTGGTTATCTAGAATGTGTTTATGTTACCTTAGGCATAAGCTGCCTGTACTGTGTATTGTGCCCTGAGACAACCTGCATGAAGAGCCAAATATTTTGATAGTTATGCCATCACGACATACAGTGAGGGAAAAAAGTATTTGATCCCCTGCTGATTTTGTATGTTTGCCCACTGACAAAGAAATGATCAGTCTATAATTTTAATGGTAGCTTTATTTGAACAGTGACAGACAGAATAACAACAAAAAAATCCAGAAAAACGCATGTCAAAAATGTTATGAATTGATTTGCATTTTAATGAGGGAAAGAAGTATTTGACCCCTCTGCAAAACATGACTTAGTACTTGGTGGCAAAACCCTTGCTGACAATCACAGAGGTCAGACGTTTCTGTAGTTGGCCACCAGGTTTGCACACATCTCGGGAGGGATTTTGTCCCACTCCTCTTTGCAGATCTTCTCCAAGTCATTAAGGTTTCGAGGCTGACGTTTGGCAACTCAAACCTTCAGCTCCCTCCACAGATTTTCTATGGGATTAAGGTCTGGAGACTGGCTAGGCCACTCCAGGACCTTAATGTGCTTCTTCTTGAGCCACTCATTTGTTGCCTTGGCCATGTGTTTTGGGTCATTGTCATGCTGGAATACCCATCCACGACCCATTTTCAATGCCCTGGCTGAGGGAAGGAAGTTCTCACCCAAGATTTGACGGTACATGGCCCCGTCCATCGTCCCTTTGATGCGGTGAAGTTGTCCTGTCCCCTTAGCAGAAAAACACCCCCAAAGCATAACGTTTCCACCTCCATGTTTGACGGTGGGGATGGTGTTCTTGGAGTCATAGGCAGCATTCCTCCTCCTCCAAACACGGCGAGTTGAGTTGATGCCAAAGAGCTCCATTTTGGTCTCATCTGACCAAAACACTTTCACCCAGTTGTCCTCTGAATCATTCAGATGTTCATTGGCAAACTTCAGGCGGGCATGTATATGTGCTTTCTTGAGCAGGGGGACCTTGCAGGCGCTGCAGGATTTCAGTCCTTAAAGGCGTAGTGTGTTTCCAATTGTTTTCTTGGTGACTATGGTCCCAGCTGCCTTGAGATCATTGACAACATCCTCACGTGTAGTTCTGGGCTGATTCCTCACCGTTCTCATGATCATTGCAACTCGACGAGGTGAGATCTTGCATGGAGCCCCAGGCCGAGGGAGATTGACAGTTCTTTTGTGTTTTTTTCCATTTGCGAATAATCGCACCAACTGTTGTCACCTTCTCACCAAGCTGCTTGGCAATGGTCTTGTAGCCCATTCCAGCCTTGTGTAGGTCTACAATCTTGTCCCTGACATGCTTGGAGAGCTCTGTGGTCTTGGCCATGTTGGAGAGTTTGGAATCTGATTGATTGCTTCTGTGGATAGGTGTCTTTTATACAGGTAACAAGCTGAGATTAGGAGCACTCTTTTTAAGAGTGTGCTCCTAATCTTAGGAGCACTCTTTTTAAGAGTGTGCTCCTAATCTCAGCTCGTTACCTGTATTAAAGACACCTGGGAGCCAGAAATCTTTTTGATTGAGAGGGGTTCAAATACTTATTTCCCTCATTAAAATTCAAATCAATTTATAACATTTTTGACATGCGTTTTTCTGGATTTTTTTGTTATTCTGTCTCTCACTGTTCAAATAAACCTACCATTAAAATTATAGACTGATCATTTCTTTGTCAGTGGGCAAACGTACAAAATCAGCAGGGGATCAAATACTTTTTCCCTCACTGTAGCTTTGAAGAGAGGACATTATTCAGGTCTACGCTTTGTACATATTATTGCTCGTAATGGCCTTTAACACCACTTGGGCCTCCCTTTAATCCTGGTTCAGCACACGTACTTACTGCAGCAAGCAAACACAACTTTGCCTCGTCAGCAAATCCACCTGCGTGAAGGCAATCACGGGCCTATATCAGCTTAGGGACACCATGAGAATGAGGCCTTTGCGAGCTGCCGCATGGCAAAACTAAGCTGATTACACCGTGCAGCAGCCCCATTTAATTTCGTGTTCACGTTTGTGATTGGCACTGGCA